AGAGGGGTCAGTCCAACATTGTGATGAAATTTGCGTGTCATATCAATTCATATATTGATTTTATAATGTAAGAACTATATGATCCTTATCAAACTTTGAGTAGTATATTATAGAAAGATCTGTAAATTTCTAGTCCCTTCTGATAAATGGCAAAACCTGATATATACTACCCATCAAAAGTTTAGACTCACTTAAAGCACTCACTATATGTTATGTATATGTATGTGGTTACATCGAAGATGAATTTCTCCACCAACTTGGGGGAACCAACTGAAAACCTTATGCAGATGAATTGCACAAGGATGATGCTTCAAATTGCGAAAGGCATGAGCAAATGTCGTGCATGTGAACAGATTCGTTTTGGTGTAAAGTTTTGTTAAGAATTCGCCAATTTTCACAGATTTTAATCATTTACTGAACTCATGACAATAATCTTTTCAATGTTACGAATATGTTTTACAATACACCAGTTCATAACTAAACAGTACCTTTAAACAGTATGGAATATTTTGCAAAAAGCTAGTTTAGAACAGTGGACAAGTAAGTGGCTACATTTACACTAGTGAGTCTAAACTTTTGATGGGTAGTATACTTGCAAAATAATGAAAATGCGAGGGATAACTTACCATTACTCTTGCGCCACATGTTCGTCTTTCACTGTCCAGCGAGGAAATGGAGTTGCTTTTGTGGCACCTCCACATTGCACCCTGTGTTATGTTTAGTAGAATATTTTGCTTTTGTTTCATTCTAAAGTGCCCGGAAGTTTGAAAGGGGCAGCAGGATTTGACCAAGAGTTTTTTGACAAAACAGTACTAGGCAGAAAACATTGACCGAAACACTGCAAGGTTTGAATCCAAAACACAATTATGATACCCGTACCACATACATTACTCTTAAATGACCAGTTTCAGTTTAATTCATTTTCTGTTAATTACTAAGATTGAATATTTGCTCTTGCACGGCAGTTTAAAAGTTCCCAGAAATCTATGTATATACTTTTTGTTTAAATGTTTTCTATTGTAACCAGGAGGATTAGTCAAAATGCAGAATGGAATAAGTCGTGGTCGTAGTGCAAGATTTTGCATCATGGATTGTTGACAATTTCTGTAATTATTGAAATCAATAAGATCTATCGATTTTTCCAGCCTAATTCTTGATACGACACTATTCCCATGCATATTCTTAGATATTGATCTGATGTGCTGAAAAGACGAACGAATCTCGTTGTTGCTACAAAGTAAAAAATCTGAATTTTGCTTTGTTATTAGTAGTATGAGGGCAACGACTGTACTAAGGAAGTCAAGTGCACAAACTGCGGTGGTAACCATACGGCCTCTTCCAAGTTCTGTCCAGTGTGGAAACGCGAATCCGAGATACTAAAGATCAAGCACAAAGAAAATATCTCCTTTCACGAAGCAAAGAAGAGGGTTGCAAGTTTAACTGCAGCCCCTTCAACCATCACCTACTCTTCTGCTGTCTCCCGTCCTGCTATCACTACTGCAACCATCTCATGTTAGACCCACCTGACATGGATCATGTCTTCTCAGCCAACTGAACTCAGCACAACTCAGCCTATCTCAGCAACTCCATCTCCAACGCCAAAGGTCAAAACCTCTGAATCACAAACACCAGAACAAATGCCAAAACCAGAAACAGAAACTGCGCGCAGAAAAGGGGAAAAAGAGGCTAGAGACTAAAACAACTTGAACAACTGCCAAACACAAAAGCAAAGGCCACCTCTCCTTCAGAGGTCCCCATCAAGGTGCATAACTCCTTTGGCCCTCTGGATATGGAGGTAACTCCAGCTCCACCTCACCAATAGGAGTTCATCAAACGCTTTCTCACGTTCACGTGACATGTCACCAATGGAAGCACCATGAATCCACAAAACATGATCCAATGGAATTGCAGAGGACTTAAGAATAATTATAATGAATTACAGCTATTGATTCAAGACTTCAAACCATCCGCGTTTTGTCTCAAGAAACCTACCTAAAAGGACCGATAAATTCGACATCCGTCGGTACAGTTCCAACCACTCCTTTTCTCCTCCGGTGTAAAAGCTACAGGAGGCACTTCTATCCTGGTGAGGCAGGGCGTCCTTCATAGCCCCGTTTCACTTAAAACCAACCTACAAACTGTTCCTGTCCTTGACTCTGAACATAGGGTTTACACTATGTTCCCTCTATCTCCTCCACCTCAACTGTTCGCCTATCAGATCTTCAGAACTTATATGATCAACTCCCGAAGCTCTGCATAATCATGGGCGACTTCAGCAGCCATAACCCCCTATGGGGGAGTACTGATACAAATAGTAAGGGAAAGGTCCTTGAAGAGTTTCTCTCAAATAATGATGTATGCATCTTCAACGATGGATCAAACACCTACCTCCATCCTGCCACTGGATCATACTCTGCTCTCGACCTATCACTTACAGATTCTAATCTTTTAAATGAGTTCGAATGGTCGGTCCATGACGACCTTTGTGGAAGTGACCACTTCCCAACAATTCTTACTCCTATCAACCCCACGGATGAACCACCATCAACAAGATGGAATTTTACTAAGGCCAATTGGCCTTTATTCCAAACCCTATGTTCAGAAAAACTTAAGCCGGACAACTTCAGGAATGTTCCTGACCCCATGGAACTATTTTCAGACGTCCTAAATGCCATCAGAGACAAAACTATTCCAAAGTCCTCTGCAAACCCGCACATACGCAAACCATGGTTTGATACAAACTGCAAACAAGCTAGGAAAAATAGGGAAGAAGGCGGAAAAATATTTCCGACAACATCTACAGTGCATAACCTGAATGTTGTTGAAATGACAAATGCCAGGGCAAAACGTGCCTTCAAACAAACTAAACGCCGGTCATGGAGGAAATATGTGTCAAAAATCAACTCCCACACACCCATGTCCAAGGTGTGGAACATGATTCAAAAGATTAAGGGTAAAGGGTCAAAATCAGGAGTTCACCACCTGAAAGATGGTGACTCCCTCCTAACAAATAAATCTGAAATTGCAAACAAACTTGGCGAAACTTTGGCAAACCACTCCTCCTCATCAAATTATAACCCTCAGTTCCAGAAATACCAAACCCAACAAGAAAAGAAACCAATCAATTTTAACTCTGATAATGGGGAGGATTACAACGAAATGTTTTCCCTCCATGAATTACGTACTGCCCTAGGACAGGCTCACGACACTGCGGCAGGAGCTGATGAAATCCATTATCAACTTCTGAAACACCTCCCTGACACAGGCTTGGAAACACTCCTAAATATGTTATGATGACATCTGGACATCGGACACTTCCCCCTTCGTGGCACATGAAGCCGCGCCACCTCCTCGTGGTGCGGTGCATGGAGCGCATGGTCAACAACGCTGGTACTTGGAGCCCTTCAGTGACCCCAATGTGGTTTGCACCCATGGACCTCCTCGTGGTGGGGGGATAATGCTAAGGTCCACCACCCCCGTTTGCCGAGGGGATTGCAACCCCTGCGCCCTGTGTCGGTGGAGGACGGGATTCTGGTGGTTGAGGGCAATAGGATCCTGGAACCGTGTTCCTGTTGCCCAACACACCACTTCGGCCCTTACTTCACCTAGACGGGTGGTAGAACTGGCCCGGTTCTATCAATCGGCTGGTCACGCCAAGCCCTGTGCATGGTGAATCTATTATATGCACATTGCTTTATTTTGGGCCGTGGTTATTTTTTTATCCTCAATGTTCAAATTATTATGTTAACTTGCCTAGAGTTCTATGCCAGAAGGCGGTGGCTCATGGGCCAATCTGGTGATAATGACCTCCAAATGATGTATGTCTTCAACTTCTTGTCACGGGCCGAACCAGTCTGATATTTGGTTGGTAGATAAATGCAGCCATTTGTGTTGTTTTCTCTGGAGTATAACACTCCTGTATCCCTGGTGTCAGCATCTTGGAGATCCGGTGCATATTGACACTGTCCTTGTTGACACTCCATGGTGGGTGGGGAACAGGGGTGCTGAACCATATTCGTTCCATTATGACTACACAACTCTCTGGTTCAGCAAGAAATGAAAAAGAGACGAATCGACAATGTTGATGAATCTTTGAGAACTGTTCCCTCAAATGCTGATTCCTGGGCTCGTTTCCTGGTGATAGAGGCTACTGATTTCCTACCGATCAAATTAAATCCTTTGCTATTTCTAAGGCTGTTTCTGGAATTTGTGGGGACGTTGAAAACGTCACCCGTCTCCGTAGCGGTTCACTTCTGGTGGAATGTGCATGGAAACAGCAATCTCTCAATCTTTTATCGATTGAAACATTTGCTAATGTTGAGGTTGCTGTGTCTGTGCACAGAACTTTAAATTCCTGTCGTGGAATCATTCGCGACAGAGCTCGTTGTCTTTCGGATATGTCCGAGGAGGACATTGCCGCAGAACTACATGATCAGGGTGTGACAGCAGTCAAACGTTTCACGTTCAACAAAGAAGGTAACATTGTGCAAACAAATACTTACCTCTTAACGTTTGCGCGTGCCTCATTGCCACAGTCTATAAAAGCAGGGTATTTTAATATCGGAGTGGATGTGTATGTCCCCAGTCCGCTCCGGTGTTATAAATGTCAAAATTCGGTCATGGATCAAACTCTTGTCGTGGTTCTGTGATTTGTCATCGCTGTGGCGAGAGCCACGACAGCACAGACTGTAACAAGATTTTTCAATGTGCTAACTGCCATGGCCCTCATGGTTCCTCATCAAAATCATGCCCTGTGTGGCAAAAGAGTCAAAAAATCATGAGATTAAAGTGTGAGAAAAACATCTCTTACCTTGAGGCCAAGAAACTTTTTTGTACATGAGGTTTCTACTCCAGTGACATACTCTGCTGCAGTCACTCGTACTGTAGCAACGTCCTCTGCTGCTTGTCAAACAGACTTGACTTGGGTCAGGTCAGTAAACCCTGTTTCTGCTGCTCCACTAAAGCCACCAGCTACTCAACCTATGCCCCAGTCACACAATCTACTTCTTCTTCTTCCCAGACTGCGAGTCAGCCTGAGATACTATCCAAAACAGTTCACAAACAGCCAGCCTCAGCCAGTTCTGGAAAACCAAAGGTAAAATTTAACAGAAAAGAGACACATTCCGTCCCTTTACCTTCCGAGCTCCCTTTGGAGAACCCCTTTGGACCTCTCGACATGGAGGTCACACTGTCCTCACAGGACAAGCGGAGGAATAGCTCTTCTTCCCATTCACGAGAGATCTCCGATTGAGCCACCACCATGACTCAATTGTCTAATGTAATTCAGTGGAATTGCAGAGGACTGAAGAATAACTTCAATGAAATACAATTACTCATTCAAGATCTTCAACCGTCAGCATTATGTCTTCAAGAGACATACCTTAAAAATACTGATACTTTTAATTTAAGAAGGTTTAGTGATTATCATTCCTTCTCCCCTCCAGGCAATAAAGCTACATGGAGGCGCCTCTATTTTGGTGCACCAGAGTGTCATTCACAGTCCTGTCACTTTAAATACGGATCTTCAAACTGTTGCTGTGCGTCTCACTCTGCACATTGCTCTGACATTGTGCAGCTTGTATATACCTCCTTCTTCAAATATTCAACAATCCGATCTTCAAAATCTGTTTGATCAACTTCCGAAGCCATGTCTCATCATGGGCGATCTGAACGGTCACAACCCTTTGGGGAAGTGACCATATTAATACTAAAGGTAAAATCCTTGAGGAATTTATTTCCGATAATCACCTGTGTATATATAACGATGGTTCTCCCACTTATCTACATCCAGCTACGGGAACATATTCTTCCCTGGATCTGTCAATTGCCGACTCCAGCTTGTATAATGAATTTGAATGGGTGGTCCATGATGACCTATGTGGGAGTGATCACTTCCCCACCATTCTCAAAACAGTCAACCCTAGTGATGATCCACCTTATCGAGAAGGAACTTTGCCAGGGCTGACTGGTCCTTATATGAGACTCTGTGTGCTGAACAATTAACTCATGATCGGTTTAGGAACAGTGAAGATCCTATTCAGTCGTTTTCTGATATCCTTAATGGCATTGCTGACAGAACAATTCCTCAGTCCTCTGCGGTTCCACATATTCGTAAACCATGGTTCAATAACGAATGTAAACAGGCCAGAAAGTGTAGGAAGAAAGCAGAAAAATATTTTCGCCGACATCCTACTGTCCATAATTTAGATAAATGTAAAATGTTAAATGCCAAGGCGCGACGCAGTTTTAAACAGAATAAGCGTCAGTCTTGGCGAAACTATGTTTCCAAAATAAATTCTCGAACACCGATGTCAAAGGTGTGGAACATGATACAAAGAATAAAGGGCAAAGGTTCCAAATCTACCGTTCATCATTTAAAGGACGGTGATAATTTGTTAACTGATAAGGCTGACATTGACAATAAGCTTGGTGAACACTCGCTTAACATTCGTCTTCGTCCAATTATGTCCCTGAGTTTCAGAAACATCAGAAACAACAGGAGAAGAAAAGAATAAATTTTACATCAGACAATGGAGAAGACTACAATGAATTATTTTCAATGCATGAGTTACGTACTGCCCTTGAGCAAGCTCATGATACAGCAACAGGAGCTGATAATATACACTATCAGCTCTTGAAACATTTACCTGATTCATGTTTGGAAACACTTCTAAATATTTTTGACACAATATGGACTTGAGGGAATTTCCCAACTTCGTGGCGTAAAGCCATAGTAGTCCCTATACCAAAACCTGGCAAGGATCATACTGATCCGTCTAATTATAGACCAATCTCTTTAACGAGTTGCGTCTGTAAAACCATGGAAAGAATGGTGAATAATAGATTAACTTGGTATCTTGAAACCAATAACCTGATATCAAATATCCAATGTGGTTTCAGGAAAAATCGTAGTACCATTGATCATTTGGTACGTTTAGAATCCTTTGTCAAAAATGCAATAGTCAATAAACAACATGCTGTATCAATTTTCTTTGATCTTGAGAAAGCTTATGATACAACCTGGAAGCATGGCATTTTGAGGGATTTACATGATTTTGGTTTAAGAGGCCGTTTGCCTCTTTTATATCACAGTTTTTAAAGACAGGCAATTTCAAGTCCGAGTGGGTTCAACCCTGTCTGACCATTATAATCAGGATCAGGGTGTGCCGGAAGGCAGTATTTTGTCTGTCACATTGTTTAGTATAAAAGATAAATAGTTTATCAAAAGTTTTAAATGATTCAATTGATGGATAATTATTTGTGGATGATTTTAATATCTCTTGTCGCGGTAAAAATATGCACACTATTGAACGACAACTGCAGTTGTGTTTAAATAAAATAAATAAATGGTGTCTTGAAAATGGCTTTAAATTTTCTAAGTCAAAAACTAATTGTATACACTTTTGTAGAAAATATAAGCCTCATAAGGACCCAGAACTATTTTTAAATGGTATTCCCATTAAAGTTGTCAAGGAGGCCAAGTTCTTGGGTCTAATTTTCGACTCCCATTTGACTTTCCTTCCACATATCAAATCCCTAAAAACTAAATGCCTGAAGGCACTCGATTTATTGAAAGCCGTGTCTAATTCAAGGTGGGGAGGGGATCAAGCTACGCTCCTACACCTATACAGATCACTTGTCTGCTCGAAACTTGATTATGGCTCCATAGTATATGGTGGAGCCTTTAAAAGCAACCTGAACCTCTTAGATTCAGTCCACCATCAAGGTCTGAGACTTTGTCTTGGGTCCTTCAGAACTTCTCCTGTTGACAGTCTTTATGTCGAGGCAGACGAACCTTCTCTTACCCAACGCCGTATAAAATTATCATTACAATATATTACAAAATTATATTCTAATGAGTCAAATCCTGCATTTCACTGTGTCTTTAATCCTCTCTATGAGGATTTGTATAACAAAAAATCTTCTCTTGTTCCGCCTCTTGGGCTCAGAATTAAGCCATTTATTGCTGCTGCCGGCATTGAGCTGGAAAATATAGCTTCTTCCCGTCTTCTTTCTTCTCCTCCTTGGCAATTGGTTAGGCCACAAGTCGACCTAACACTCACTAAATTTAAAAAATCAGAAACTAATGACTTATTATATAAACAAGAATATAATCAATTAAAAAGTACATATAATACATATAAATCCTTATTTACAGATGGGTCCAAAGATGGTGGCGCGGTTGCTTGTGCCACTGTCATTGGGTCCAAAACAATCTCTTCCAGATTACCCAATGACAGTTCAACTTTCACAGCAGAAGCAAACGCAATCCTAACAGCTCTTAAATATATGCATAGACACCCTAAATATAAACAATATATCATATTTTCTGACTCTCTTTCTTGCCTTCAGGCGATTAAAAATATTTCTTGTAAACATCCACTTTTAATAGAAATTATAGAATTATATAATGATCTTGCAACTGGCCAATACGACATCGTCCTCTGTTGGTTACCCAGCCACGTTGGCATTTCTGGGAATACAATGGCCGATTTTGCTGCCAAGGCAGCACTCAACAAATCTGTGACACCACTTCTAATTCCATACTCTGATTATAAAGCCAGCATTAGAACATACATCCGCGATCTGATGCAAAAGAAGTGGGATGCCCAAGTAGGTATCAATAAATTACATGCAATCAAACCAACTATCGGTTACACTTACTTGGGTTGTCAGTCCAGATTTGAAGAGGTCATCATACGACGATGTCGTATTGGCCACACAAGATATACTCATGAGTACCTATTGAAAGGTGAGGATCCTCCGTTTTGTATCCCTTGTGATGAAAGAATCACGGTCAAGCATGTCCTGCTTGACTGTGTTGAATATTCCATCACAAGGGATATTTATTTCAAAGTAAAAACTATGAAGGATCTTTTTAGTCATATAAGTTCTCATTTGATTATTGCCTTTTAAAAAAAATTAGACTTGCTAACTGATTTGTAAATAGATATATATTTTATTATTGGTAGTTTAAATTAGTAACTGATATTGTTAGTGGCTGTACCCTCAAAGTGGGTTGAAGTAGCGTAAAATTATTGTCCTCCTGAGAGGGTACGTAAGTCCCAAAACATTTAGTCAATTTAAGTGTACCAGGTTTTTAATCGTAGAATATGTGTACTTTTAATTTATGGCTAGGTTTCTCTTCTGTCGCCAATGGCTGAAGGGATGGTGTAAATCCAGCTAGGGTCCATGCAGGAAGCAAATGTACTGTAAGTCCCCATGGTCCCTAGTATGGTGATCTACCTTCAGTTGTTGGCGATCTATAGCCCATTTTTATATTGTGTTGTCCCCTATAGTTAAAATGTTTTAGATTCAATTACTAGTTTTACATCTATATCTGTGATAATCTAGTTATTTTACTGTCCTTCGTTGACACTTGGTGCTTAGTATATGGTTGAAATATTGCCGATGTGATTGCTTTATTATGGCATAAGTACCATTGACCATTGTTCTCAAAAACTCCATTGTCATACCGTATCTATCTTTTTACTTAGAAAAAGCATATGATACAACGAAATATTTGCCGATGTGACATATTCAGTTTTAAACAACAGACAATTTCAACTCACTCACTATTTCCACCAAGATCAGGGCGTCCCCAAGGCAGCATCCTGTCTGTCACACTTTTAGCATCAAAATTAACAGCCTCACCAAGGTTCTTGAACAGTTGCGTTGATGGGTCCCTTTCGTGGATGACTTCAATATTTCATGTCCTGGTAAGAACATGCACGCAATAGAAAGGCAGCTACAACTCTGCCTTAACAAAATCCAAAAATGAGCCAATGAAAATGGTTTTAAGTTTTCAAAATCCAAAACAAATTGTATTCACTTTTGTCATAAATACAAACCACACAAGGATCCAGACCTAACTTTAAACGGTACTCCCATCAAGGTAGTAGAAAAGGCCAAATTCCTTGGACTCATATTCGACCACCACCTGACATTCTTACCACATATAAATATATTTGAAAACAAAGTGCTTGAAGGCTCTAGACTTGCTAAAAGTAGTCTCAAATACAGAGTGGGGAGGGATCAGACCACCCTCTTTCACTTGTACAGATCATTAGTTCGCAGTAAC